CTACATTTTTCCAAGACTGTAAATCTTTACAGAAGCAGGCTGCTACATCTTTCTCCCAGAGTGGCTGGTGGGTTCGAACCACCGATATTTCGGTGCACAGCTGAGCACTTTAACTACTGCACCACCAGGGCTTCTTCCACTTAGATATTACTGACCCTTAATCTAATGAACTGATATCCTCTAACTACCACTAAATTTTCTTTTACATGTACTCCCTCACTCCTCTGCTTGATCTTCTACTAGCTGGACTTCTTAAACACTTTTCTTCCTGAAACTACTTGTCATAGCTATCAAAGACTTCTCAATGTGTTAAGTAGCTTTTAGTAACACAGTTGTTCATTCTCCATTCTGCTTGGCTTCACTACAGCACTGACATTAAAACCAAACCAAACCCACTGCCATCAAATCAATTTGATGAATCAATTTGAATCAATCACAGCGACCCTGTAGGACAGGGTAGAACTGCCCCATAGGATTTCCAAGGCTATAAATCCTTACGGAAGCAGACTCACATCTTTCTCCCATGGAGCAGCTGGGGGTTTGAACTGCTGACCTTTTGGTTAACAGCTGAGTACTTTAACCACTGCACCACAAGGGCTCCTTCCACACTGACATTATCTATTTATTCCTTGCCTCTTGAAACTGCCTGCTCTTTTCCTTAGTCCTCTGCTCTCCAATCTTTTTATCTGTATTGCACAACAGACTTTCTCTGATGATGGAAATGTTCTATATCTATGCTGTCCAATACGGTATACACATGTGGTTACTAAGGACTTGAAATGTGGCTAGTGTGAATGAGGAACAGGCATTTAATTTACTTTTAATTTAAATTTAAATAGCCACATGTGGTTTGTGATGACCATACTGGACAGCACAGCTCTACTGCACACAGTCTATGCCAATCTCGTCTTGCCTACAGGATTCACTCACAGCACTGACATCTCTCCTGAGCTCAAATCCAAGATTTCAATTGCCTGCTGTCCAGAAGCTTATCTCCCCTAAAGACGATGTGATTAAAATTTACTCATCCCTCTCCAAAACATATATTCCTTTTGATGCCTTTATTTCTATTTAAAATGCCACCATTCAAACCTAAGTCTTTTTAATCTCCTTGATCTGTCTTCCCTATATTTATTAGTCTCCAAGTCATACTGATTCTTCCTCATGACAACTTTTACATCACTGCTCTGGGATATTCCAATCTAAACTAACTGGCCAGTTTAGGTCCCTATCATGCTTTCTAACTGCTCTCCATTCTTCTAGTCTTTTTCCTCAATAATCTGCCCTGCACTCCTACATGATTTCTCTGACATGCTTCTCTCTCTTCCAAATCGCCAGTGAAGCCTTACCATCTAACCTCTTAGCTCAGTACCGAAGGCTACATATAACTTGGTAACCAATTTGTGTTTTATAATTTCATTTTTCACATTTCTTTTGTCAATTCTTTGTTCCAATCAATTACCATTCCTTAATGTATCTTATGCTTATCCACATCTCTATTTTTAACATAAGTCCCTTTTTCTGGTGCTTCAGGCTTACTAAAAACAGAATATTGGACGAAGCATAAAACTTTGGAGCCAAAGTTTTAAGGAGGTTTTTTTTTTTTTTTTAAATATTTTTTATTTAATTTCTGGTGAAAATATATACAGCAAAACATGCTCGCATTCAACAGTTTCTAGACATAATGATCAGTGACACTGGTTACATTCTTCATATTGTGTCAACATTCTTATTATCTGTCTAGTTGTTTCACTCTCATTAACTTAAACTCCCTGCCCCCCCAACATTCTCATTTATGCTTTAAAATAGCTGTTTGTTTGGTCGTACATAATTTTTTAAAAGCATGCAATACTCAAGGATGACAATCTTTACTTTTTAAGCTAAACTGTTACTTAGTTTAAAGGTGACTACAGAGGATAGTTTCTATTCAAGCTTTGAAGAGTAACTCAGGGCCATACTCTCAGGGACTCCTCCAGCCTCAATAGGTCCAGTAAGTCTGGATTCTTTCAGAATTTGGAGTTCTGTTCCACATTTTTCTCCCTTTCTATCAGGATCCATCTAATGTGTCCCTGATTAAAACATTCAGTAGTGATAGCTGGGCATCATCTAGTTCTTCTGGTCTCAAGGTAGAGGAGGCAGTGGTTCATGGAGACAATTTGTCCTGTATGTAGTCTGGTTCCTTCTCAAATTCTTGGGCTTCCTTCTTTTTCTTTTGTTCCAGACGAATACAGACCAATGGTTGTGTCTTGGATAGCCGCTTGTAAGCTTTTAAAATCCCAGACACTATTCACCATACTGGGAGGTAGAACATAAAATGTTTTAATGAGTTCTAATTCTGGCTCTGCCTCTAATACTAGATGTGTGGTCCTAAACAGTTTACCTAACCTCTCCGAGCTTCAATTTCTTCTTCTGTAAATTAGGGAGAATAATATCTAGCCTTAAATGGTTATGCATTACATGAAACAATACTATTTAAGGACTGAGCAGGGTCCCTGGCATATGACAGGTATTCAAGATGCAAATTTCATTATAACTAGTATCTTTGAAAACCTAATTCAAATCCAGCCTCCTCCCTGAAGCTTTCCCAGAAGTGACTTCTTTTTTTTTACCAAATGCTTATAGTACTACCTACAGTATATAAAATCAGTTGACTACTAATCATGTAAAAACAAGTGCCATTTGTTTTTTCTGATCTTAAACTATGCTTAAAATCATGCTGTTTAGTTCAGTTTAGTTCAACAAATGTTTATGGTGCACTGTTATGTTCCAGGCACTGTGCTAGGTACTACAAATGGAAGGAGCAGTAAACGTAGATGTTGCCTTCTAGGAACTTACAATCTGGTTATAGTGGTAAATACAGACATATAAATGAGCATTTAACTATAATGTTAATTACTATGGAAAAGATCTGTACAGGTACTAAAGTAGTAGAGAAGAAAGAGTAAATACTCAGTTTGGGATGTTAGGAAGATAATCTGGTAGAGGTGATGCCTCAATTGAGTCTTTAAGAATGAGTAGGAGTTAGCCAGGCAAGGAAAGGTTAGGAGGAAGGAGAGGGGACAGGAGTCATTCTAAGCAGAAGAAAGAGAATGAATAAATGTACAGATGCATAAAATAGCCTCTATAAGCAGTCCAGAAATTCAGAGTGTGAAGTGTGGAGCAGTAGAAATGAGTCTGTAGCTGTAGGTCCATTATGCAAGGTCCAGTGTGTGATGTTAATCATTCTGGGCTTTATCTTCTAGGATAAAAACTTCAGTTATTTTCCTATCATCTTCATGATTTTTGTCAAATCCATGTCCCACCTGAACTATTAATTATTAATTACTTGATATTTTAGTTGAAACCAACTCATGTTTAAAAACTTATTAACTACTTTATTGGCTTGTCTTAAGCAATATCTATCAAAATGTAGGTTTGATATATCAGGTATATTTTTGTATTGCCCATTAAAATAAATAACTATTAAAAATATTTATTCAAGATATGTACACCACACTCAAGGGAAAGTGATGGGGGCCCTCTGGATAGCGGGAAAGTGACATCACAGGATTTGTTTTTAGATAGACCACAGTGGTGACTAAGTGGAGGCTGGATTTTGGGGTATAGGTAAGACAAGTAAAAAAAATCATTTGGAGGCAAAAGATCAGGTAAGAAATAAGGAAGGCGACCTAGGGAAGTGACAATAGAGAGAGACAAGCAAGGAGAGAATCAAAAGTATTAGAAAGCAGAATCAGAAAGGTCTTAGTGACTAATTAGCTATACTGACAGAAATCTAAGACAGCTCCCAGGTTGAGTAAATAATGATTAGAAAAAATAGAAAAAAGAACAGGTTTGGTGGGGAAGAGGTAAAGTTTAATTTTTACCTGTTTATATGCTGTTTATAAGGCCTATGGAACAACCAAGCAAAAATGCCTAGGTTATAGTAAGATACGCAAAATCTGAAAGTAGTGCAATAATCAGTGCTAATGACACAGAGGAATCATCAGCACGTAGGTGTTAATAAAAACCTCCAGAATGAATGAAATCTCAAAAAATAAGGGTATGAATTAAGAGAAGTAACTAGCCTACAAGCAGCCCCATTATCTACACTGCGAAACTCACTGTCTAAGGGGAGTATCAAGGAAGAAGACCCCATAAAGGAAACCGATAAGGAATCGTTAGAAAGCTATGAGAAGAACCAGGAAAGAATGGTATCAGGGAAGCTGACAGACAATAAGAAGGGAGTGGTTATAATCTCAAATGTTGCAGATATCCAGTAAAAATCAGCTTTATTTTACAGGTAGTGTCACGTTTCCCTAACTGAATTGTTCTTTATATGAAATATTTTGGTTTTTAATCTATTTCTTTGTACCACTTAACAGTGCCCAATATAATATCTTGCACAAAGGAAGCTCTCCAAAATTCTGTCAACTGTGAGGAATAAGCATCTATTTGCTTCAACAAATAATCATATTCTGCATTCATAATAAGGTGTTGAAACTGTGATAAAAATCAAAGGTATACTTATCTTGAATAGTTACCTGTACAAAAGCAACTCCTGTCATCAAAATTACTAGGGAGAGCCACTGGTACACACCTAATTTTTTACTAAGCATGGACACAGAAAATAATGCTGTTGTAAGAATTTTCAACTGATATGTGACCTGAGGGGGGAAAAAAGCGAACAGTTAATATTATTAATGTTTGTTTTTTAAAAGGACTATCAGAAATGTATTTTAAGTACCTGATAAGTAGCTGCATCTAGATTTGACAATGCCACATAGAGTAAATTATTCTGAAGAGTATATATTCCTGATGGAATAGCAAGTTTAAGTGTTTCCATGGGTTTATTAAGAATTTCATCATGTAGTACTCGATTCAGTGCTCTTAGACTACATTCTAGACAAAACATATGAAATGGAAAAATCAGTAATTAACTCTGAATAAATTATATACCCTCAAAGTCTGTGTTCTCACCTGTAAAAAATGGAAATTAGGCTACATGCTAAGATACTTCTAGGTCTGAAATTATCTTTATGATGCTAATTTCAAATATTAAATAAGATAACATATTAAGAAGGGCATTATCTTATGTTCTTTCATTTTGATAAACAATCAAATTGATCATACACACACATATATATTTATGATAACCAAAAGTCCAAAGTACTACAGTCATACCTCATTTTATTGTGCTTCACTTTACTTGGCAGATACTATGTTTTTTGAAATTGAAGGTATGTGGCAACTCTGCATCAAGTAAATCTATTGGTGCCATTTTTCCAACAGCATGTGCTCACTTTGTGTTTCTGTCACATTTTGGTAATTCTCGCAATATTTCAAACTTTTTCATCATTATTATATCTGTTATGGCGATCTGTGATCAGTGATCTTTGATGTTATTATTGTAATTGTTTGGGGGCACCATGAACTGCACCCATACAAAACGGTGAACTTAACCAATAAATGCTGTGTGTGTTCCGACTTCTCCGCCAATTGGCTGTTCCCTGTCTGTCTCCCTCTCCCTGGGCCTTCCTATCCATTAGACATGACAATACTGAAATTAGGCCAATTAATAACCCTACAATGGCCTGTAAGTATTCAAGTGAAAGAAGAGTTGCACGTCTCTCACTTTAAATCGAAAGCTAGAAATAAGCTTAGTGAGGAAGGCATGTCGAAAGCCAAGATAGGCAGAAAGCTAGGCCTCTTTCCAAACAGCCAAACAGTGAATACAAACGAAAAGTTCTTGAAGGAAATTAAAAGTGCTACTCCAGTGAACACACAAATGATAAGTGAAAAAACCTTATTGTTGATATGGAGAAAGTTTTAGTGGTCTGGATAGAAGAACGAAACAGCCACAACATTCCCTTAAGCCAAAACCTAATCCAGAGCAAGGCCCTAACTCTCTTCAATTCTATGAAGGCTGAGAGGTGAGGAAGCTGAAGAAGAAAAGTTGGAAGCCAGCAAAGGTTGGTTCATGAGGTTTAAGGAAAGAAGGCGTTTCCATAACATAAAAGCACAAGGTGAAGCAGCAAGTACTGATGTAGAAGCTGCAGCAAGTTATCCAGAAGCTCTAGCTAAGATAATTGATGAAGGTGGCTACACTAAACAGTATTTTCAATGTAGATGAAACAGCCTTATATTGGAAGAAGATGCCATCTAAGACTTCCATAGCTAGACAGGAGAAGTCAATACCTGTCTTCAAAGTTTCAAGGACAGGCTGACTCTGTTAAACGTTAACGCAGCTGGTGACTTAAAGTTGAAGCCAGTGCTCATTTACCATTCCAAAAATCCTACGGCCCTTAAGAATTATGCTAAATCTATTCTGCCTGTACCTATAAATGGAACAACAAAGCCTGGATGACAGCACATCTGTTTACAACATGGTTTACTGAATATTTTAAGCCCACTGTTGAGACCTACTGTTCGGAAAAAAAGATTCCTTTCAAAATATTACTGCTCATTGGACAATGTACCCGGGCGCCCAAGAGCTCTGATGGAGATGTACAAGATTAATGTTTTCATGCATGCTAACAACAACATCCATTCCATAGCCCATGGATCAAGGAATAATTTTGACTTTCAAGTTTTATTATTTAAGAAGTACATTTTGTAAGGCTATAGCTGCCACAGACAGTGATTCCTCTGATGGATCTGGACAAAATAAATTGAAAACCTTCTGGAAAGGATTCACCATTATAGGTGCCATTAAGAACATCTGTGATTCATGGGAGGAGGTCAAAATGTCAACATTAACAGGAGTTTGCAAGAAGTTGATTCCAGCCCTCATGGATGACTTGGAGGCGTTCAAGATGTCACTGGAGGAAGTAACCGCAGATGTGGAAATAGCAAGAGAACTAGAATTAGAAGTGGCGCCTGAAGATGTGACTGAATTGCTGCACTCTCATGACAAAACTTTAATGGATGAGGAGTTGCTTCTTATGGATGAGGAAAGAAAGTCGTTTCTTGAGATGGAATCTACTCCTGGTGAAGAGGCTGTGAACACGGTTGAAATGACAACAAAGGATTTAGAATATTACATAAACTTAGTTGATAAAGCAGTAGCAGGGTTTGAAAGGACTGACTCCAATTTTGAAAGAAGCCCTACTATGGGTAAAATGTTATCAAACAGCATCACATGCTAGAAAAATCTTTCATGAAAGAAGAGTCAATTGATGCGGCAAACTTCATTGTTGCCTAATTTTAAGAAATTGTCACAGCCACCCCACCCGTCAGTAACCACCACCCTGATCAGTCAGCAGCCATCAACTTGACGCAAGACCCTCCACTAGCAAAAAAGATTATGACTTGCTGAAGGTTCAGATGATGGTTAGCATTTTTTAGCAATAAAGTATTTTTAAATTAAGGTACGTACACTGTTTTTTTAGACATAATGCTATTGCACACTTAATAGACTATAGTATAGTGTGAACATAACTTTTATATGCACTGGGAAACCAAAAAATTCGTGTGACTCGCTTTATTGCAGTGGTATGGAACTGAAACTGCAATATCTCTGAGGTATGCTTGTAATTTATCAACCAAGTAGTCTTACTTTAACATAGCAATATGATAAAACCTTGTATTTTGTGCATTCCATGTTATCATCAGCCATTCATGTCAACTAATAACTGTGGAGACTTTAATCATGAAAAGAAGGTAAATCAGTTAGGGACTAGGTTTGGCTGCAAACAACAGAAAACTAATACTGTCTTATACCCATGGGGATTTGTCTCACCCAGCATGAGTCAGGTGATGCCATCATGGATCCAGGATCTTTCTCTTTTCACTTTGCCATCCTTAGTATATACTGGATTTTACCTTCATGTTTTTCATCCCTTGTCTACATGTTTATTGCAACAAAGTCACCAAATGACTACTGCAACTCTGGTTCTTTTTTCAGGCAGGAAGAAGGAAGTGAAAGTAGCACGCCCTGCAGCGATCTACTTCTCTCTCAATGACAAAGATTGTGTTGCATAACTACCTACCCCTAGCTGCAAGGGAGCTGAGAAATCCAGTCCTCCTTCATATCTTCCACATTAGAGACAGGAAAAGGAGAAAGGGTTTGGTTAAATTAGCCATTCTGCAGTTATCAGTCACAAAAAAATGTCCAAAGAATTTAAGAGATACATAAACCCCTAAAGAAAGGAGAAATTCTAAGGAACACTACTGCTTCATCAACAATGGCATTTTGTACATAATTTTCTCTCCATAAAACAGGAAACCTTTGATTCAGAAAACTCTTTTGAAATGAAAAAAATTTTTTAACGATTGCTGATACCCATCCTTTTCTCACCTGTAAATAAGTCAAAAAATTGTATTTTAGTAACAATAACAAAAGATTTTTTTCTTAGTTTTAGCAGAGATAAAATCTAAAATATTGATTTTTAATTTAAAAATTTAATGTGCTATCACATTTTTCACAACAGCAGTTTGGGAAGGTCTTATTCCACATTCCTGCCAATTTCTGGCATTATAAGACTTTTTATTTTTGCCAATCTGAGAGTAGTGAAATTGTGTCTTGTGGTTTTAATATTTCCTTGACTGTTAGTGTGGTTTAGTATCTTTTTATATATTTATTGGCCATTCAGGTTTCATCTTCTGTGAATTGCCTATTTATATCCTTTACCCCCTTTTTCTATTGGATTGCTTGTCTTCTTCTTATTGAGTTCTAGGAGTTCTTTGTACATTATAGATATCAATAATTGTTGGTTGTGTGATATAAATACCTTCTCTCAGTCTGTGGTTTGTTTGTTCACTTGATTTGATATACAGAAGTTTTACATTTTAATATACCCAAAATTATTTCCTTTATAGTTTATTTGTGCTTTGCATCTTGTTTGAAGTAATTTACTGTTCCATGGTCATAGAGTTTTGCTTTCTAAGTTTCAATCTTTAACGCACCTGGAATCTTTTGTGTGTGTGTGAATGGTGTGTATATTGATGGTCTGGTACGCTGAAAGTTGGTTTTAACTCCTCACTATGCAATTACTCAAAGATGTCTTCGGCCTCATATTGCTAAATGCAGTGGATATTTCTGTTCTTCTTGACCTCAACAGCAAAAACACTACTTTCTCAGCTTCCCTATCTACATTTTCCTGGTTTTCTTTCCATCTTGCTTGCAGGTCTGTTACAGTCTTCTTTTGTTAATTCCTGCTTCTCAATCTGACCTCTAAATGTTAAGAATGCTACAGAGCTTCGTCTTCAGCATTTTTCTCAGGTTATATATATGAGGTTATCTCATCCAATACTTGACTTTAAAAGCAACCTATAAAAGCTGACAATCCTTGAGCTCCACATTCACATACTCCACTATTTGACATCACAATTTGAATGACTTATAGGTATTTCAAATTTTACATGACCCAAAGAGAAACCTTAATTTCCCCTCAAAACTATCTTCCGCATATTGTAGCACTCATTTGCCGAGTTATTTAAGTGTAAACACCTGGGTATTACCCCTCAAACTGGATTTCTTCTTTTCCCTGACCTTCCCACATCCAATCTGTTAGCAAGTCATGTCAGCTGCAGCTCAAACAGACCTCTCATAAACACCCTCTCCTCTAACTCTAGAGTCCCTGGGTGGTACAAATGCTTAATGTGCTCGACTGCTAAGGATTGGCAATTTGAATCCACCCAGAAGTACCTCAGAAGAAAGGCCTGGTGATCTACTTCCAAAAAATCAGCCACTGAAGACCCTATGGAGCAGTTTTACTCTGACACACATGAGGTCGTCAGGAGTCAGAGCTGACTCCATGGAAACTGGTATGGCGTGGTATGTTCTCTAACTCCACAGGCATTACTACCACCTTAGTCTAAAAGCCATTGCTGTCGAGTGAATTCTGACTCATAGCGACCCTACAGGACAGAGCACAACTGCCCCAGAAGGTTTCCAAGGAGTGGTTGGTGGATTCAAACTGCTACACCACTAGCTAAGCAACCATTATCTTGCCTGGACTACTACAATAACTTCTTAACATGACTCCCTGTACCTATTCTTATACCTCCACCATTGTCAATACAGCTGCCAGGTTGACCTTTTAGTGTGTAAAACAGATCATATTTCAAACTCCTCAATTATTTCCCTTTGCTTTTACAATGAAATTCATGGCCTACAAAGCCATCTTGCATTGTCTATTTTCTGAACATCAATTCAATCTCTCTTCGTTTTATTCTCCAGCCAGCTACACTGGCTACTATGAGGGTTTCAAAAGTATAAGAAACTAGCCACTGCTGAACAAATCAATGCAGCAAATAAAATAAAAAGCCTTGATTTTAGTAAAAATTATTACGACTCCTCCAGGTTCTAATAGTTACAGAATTACAGAATTTACTCTTACTCTTAAGTTATTATAAAGGCAAGAAATTATGCTTTGTATTTATAGCATGTTAAGCAAAGATATAAATCATTATATAGATTAGAATAAAATGCCTTTATTATTAGACTAAAATTGTCTTTAATAAAATAAAAAATACTGAAATGTACTTAAAACTGGGGCATTAGATAATGACAACAGTGTTGAAATGTGTAGTTACCAATATATATTTACACATATATATGTGACATCAAAACAATAAATTGTGTTTACTTAAAAAAAAAAAAAACCCTAGATACCTACTGCTGTCTTTGTAGACTAGTAAAATGCACGCCATTATCTTCAAAAGTTCAGCCACAACCACTGCAGTAGAAGACAGATAACGAGGTCCCTCCTCTTTTAAAGTCCTAGAATAACGCATTGTTAGAACCAAACTGGTAGTCTGAAAGACCAAAATTCCCAAGGATAGGTATTTTAGGTTGGCAGACATTGTTTTATCTTCATTTGCCTGAAAAATAAAAAGGGCAAATAAACAAAATTACAAAGTACAGAAATTAATATTAAAAACCAATAAGAGACTAATGGTTCCAGAGGAGATGGAGTAAGCACATTCCACCCTACCCTTCCTGTTAACTGCAACTAAAAATCTTAGACCCAAGACCAAAGCAACTATCAGAAGACTCTGAAAATTGAAGAAAATAAGACAAATTAACTAGGGACTTCAGGACTTGAGGGAAGACCCTGCAATGAACTCCCTGAAGTTTCGTTGTTTGTTTCTTGGTTTTGGACCTCCTATGTATTCTACAACCTGGAACTACCAACAGGCATAGAACAACAACAGAAAACCTCACTCTAACCAAAGTATTAGAAAGACAATGGCCCTGTAGGACGGAATCCTCTTATCTGGATTCCGTGGAGTCTGTGGGGTACAGCCTTATTGATGATCATCCCTGCCCTATACTAATGAGAGCATACGTGGGAGCCCTCCTCTTCCGCACTGTGCACTGCAGCCACAGAGACCATGGGGCAGGGCTCTGTGGATTATTCTTGCCCTGTACTGAGCAAATATCAGCAAAGAGGTGGCACCCTTCCTCCCTCCTCAGTGGCTGTCTGCTAATATTTCAAAGGTTTAAGTAGGAACCAGGGTTCCATAACATAATAAAACGTACAAGAAACAATCCACTCATTATACTAAAACCAGGAAAAATCTCAACTCAGATGAGAAAAGATAATCAACAGATAACAACATAGAGATGACACAACTGCTGGAATTATCAGACAAGGATTTCAAAGAAGCTATTCTAGAACACATCAACAAGCAATGATGAACACTCTTGAAATAATTTTAGACTCACATAAACCAAAACCTGTTGCTGTCTAGTCAATTCCGACTCGTAATGACTCACATAGAAGTTGCAAATATAGTGTAGTGAAGTCTTGTGTATCATTCACCTGGTTTCCCCTAAAGATAACAGTTCCAAGGTCCCTACAGTTTACCTGAAGTAATTCAGTATTGACTCTAAGCGACTTCACTTTAAATACAAAGACAAAAATAGGTTAAAAAGTAAAAGGGTGGAAAAATATGTGCCATGAAAAAATTATTCATAATTATGGCTATATTAATATCAGACAAAATAGACTGCATAAGGATTATTTCTAGATTCAAAGGACATTTCAAAATGATAAAAGTCAATACATCAGGAAGATACAAGAATTATAAACGTGTATGTGCTTAATAGCATAACTACAAAATATATAAAGCAAAACCTGACAGAACTAAAGGGAAAAACAGATAAATCCAGTCATAATTAGAGAAATTTAGCCCACCTCTCTCAGTAACTAATAGAACAAATAAACAAAAAATTAGTAAGGATACATAAGATTTGAACAACATTATCAACTACTGTGGCAGACATGGAGATGCTTCACATAGATCTTCTTTCAAGGAAGTATTTAATGCAGACTGTATGGGCAGACTGCCTCCTGACCCAAGGACACAACCTTTGCAAAGCTGCCTGCATCTGGTGGCTGGATGAAAACACAGTATAAATTCTGGGCCATTTTGGCCAGACACAGAACAACTTAACAGGCAATATTCACTCCAGTGCTCTATACCAATTTGGCCAAGGCTTTTTTAAACCTGGATTGCTATTCAACTTATCCCTTTGCCCAATACTGCTTCTGTCCCCATTTTTTCAATGGTGTTGATCCATAACAAATATCTTGTATCCCAATGAAAACTCTGTTTCAGCATCTGTTACTGGAGAACCCAACCTGTGCAAGTACTCTGATATTTACAGAATATTACATCCGATAAAGACAGCATACATACTAGGTGAGAAAACAAGTGTTGATAGATTTCAAAATGTTGAAATCTTGCAGAGTATGTTCTCTGTCCATCTTTAAATATCAGATATCATGAAAAGCCCAAATGTCTACATATTAAACAAAATACTTCTTTAAAAAATCATGTGTTCTCTGATGACAACAGAATTAAATTAGACAACAATAAGATGTCTCAAATACTTAGAAACGAAACATTACCTCTAAATAACCCATGAGTCAAAGAAAAAAGATCACAGGTGAAGTCAGAAAATAGTTTGAACTGAAATATAATAAAAAACACAACCTATCACATTTGTGGGATCTACCTAAGGCACTGCTTAGAACAAAATTTATAGCTTTAAGTATTATATTACAAAAGACAAAAGATCTAACTAAACTCATTGATCCAAGCTTCTCCATGAGATGCTAGAAAAAGAGCAAATTAAAACCAAAATACATAGAAGGAAAGAATTAACAAAGGAAAGAGCAAAATTAATACAAATCAGTAGAAAAAGGACAGACAATAGAGATAAGCAATGAAACCAAAAGGGTTCTTGCAAAAGATCAACAAAAGTGGTAAATGTCTAGCTAGACTGATCAAGGAAATAAAAATTGAAATGATCAGCATCAGGAATAATAAATGAGACACCACTACAGATCTACAGATTCTAGAGACATTCAAAGAATAGTAAGGACTACTATGGAAAACTTTATACTCATAAATTTGGTAACTTAGAGAAAACAAATTCCTTGAAAGATACAGATTTTCAAAATTGATTCAAGAAAAAAACAGATAACGCAAATAGTACTAGATGCATTAAGGACACTGAATATGTAGTTAACACCTCCCAACAATGAAAACTCCAGGTCCAAATGGCTTCACTGGTGAATTCTACCAAGCATCTAGGGAAGAAATAATACAAATTCTACACAAACTCTTACAAAATATTGAATAGAGAATAGTTCTCAACTCATTCCATGAGACCAGCATTACCCTAACACCAAAAGTAGAAAAAGACACTATGAGAAAACTACAGACAAATATCTCTAGTAAATACAGACACAAACCTTCTTAACAAAATTTTAGCAAATCAAACCCACCAAAAAATAAAAAGAGATAATACAGCATGACCAAGTGGTGTTTATTCTAGGAATGCAAGGTTGGTTTAACATTAAGTGTAATTCATCACCATTTAACAGAATAAAAGAGAAAAACCATATGATCATCTCAATAGATGCAGAAAAAGTGTTTGACAAAAGTCCATCATTCATGATAAAAACTCTTGATAAACTAAAAACAGAAATGAACATCATCAATCCAAAAAGGTATCTACAAAAAGTATCATCTTTAATGGGGAAAGATTGAATGTTTTCCCACTAAAACAAAGAAAAAGGCATTTCTAGTCAACATTGTACTAGAGGTCCTAGCCAGTGCATTAAAGGAAGAAAAAGAATCATCAGGCATACAGATTGGAAAGGAAGTATAACTATGTATTTACACAGGATATGATTATGTGCCTAGAAAATCCTAATGAAGCTACTAACAAGTTACTAGACTTAACAATAAAATTAGTAGGCTCACAGGATTCAAAGTCAATATACAAAAGCATCTTTCTATATACTAGTGATAATTCGAAATGAAATTTTAAAACAATACCATTTATGACCACGTAAAAAACAAAGGAGTATATTTAACAACAACCAAAAAAATTTTTTTAATTTCATCAAAAACCATGAATTACATACGAATTTAATAAGATATAACTAAGACCAGTATACTGAAAACCACAAAACACTGCTGAGAAAAATTAAAGACCTAATAAAACTGAGAGACGTATCATGCTTATATTAAGTGAATCAATACTGTTAAGATGACAATTCTCCTCAAATGGATCTAAAAATTCAATGTAATCCCAAACAATATCCCAGCAGGCTTTTTTTTGTTTGTTTGTAGAAACTGACAAGCTGATTTTAAAATTCACATGGAAATACAAAGGACCTAGAAAACCAAAACAATTTTGAAAAAGAAGGACAAAATCGAAGGAATTCAAACTACTGAACTTCCAGATTTATTATAAAGCTATAGTAATCAAGACTATCTGGCATTGACAGAAAGAAATATACAGATCAATGAAACAGAATACAGTCTAGAACTAGATCAGTACATATTTTGTCAATTGATTATCAACAAAGGTACAAAAGAGAAGGATAGTCTTTTCAACAAATAGTTCAGGAACAAAAGAAATCCGTATTTTTAAAAAATTAACCACCACTTATTAGCCTCACATCAAATATTAACTAGATATGGATCACAGACCTATCATAAAAGCTAAAACTATAAATCTTCAAGAAGAAAGCATAGGAGGAAATCTTCGCCACCCAGGGAAAGGCAAATATTTCTTAGACAGGAACAATAAGCACAAACCATAGAAGAAAATACAGGTAAGCTGGATATCAATAAAATTTAAAACTGCTCTTTCAAAACTACTGTAAAAATAAAATGAAAAGGCAAGCCATATAGTGGGAAAAAATATTCTCAATACATTTATTTGAGAATGGCCTTGTATCTAATATATACAGAACTCTTACAACTCAATAAGAAGACAAACAACCAATTTTAAAATGGACAAAAGATCTGAACAGATATTTCACCAAAAAGGATAAATGAATGGCTAACAGGCACATCAAAGGATATTCAACATCATTAATCATTAAGGAAATACAAATTAAAACCACAATGAGATACCACTATACACCTATTAAAAAAAAACCCAAACCCATTGCCATCGAGTTGATTCTGACTCACAGTGACCCTACTGGACACAGTAGAACTACTCCATAGGGTTTCCAAGGAGTGGCTGGTGGATTTGAACTGACAACCTTTTGGTTAGCAGCTGAGCTCTTAACCACTGTGTCACCAGGGCTCCATACACCTATTATAAAAACCTGTTGCCGCTGAGTTGATTCCAACTCATAGCAACCCTACAGGACAGTGTAGAACTACCCTGTAGAGTTTCCAAGGAGCAACAGGTGGATTGGAACTGTTGCCCTTTTGGTTAGCAGCTGTAGCTCTTAACCACTATGCCACCAGGGTTTCCATAAAATTAGAAAGACTGATTCTACAAAGTGTTGGAGAGGATTTAGAGCAAATGGAACTCTCAACATTGCTGGCGGGAATATTAA